TATCTAGGACATGAAAATCTCCAGGAATGTGTGCATTACCAATCTGCACTTCCAGGTCTCTAATTATACCTCCAGATTTCCTTTCAGAACAATCCACAAAAGTGAATGATTCCTGTGAAGGTTCTACCTTCAGGCCCAGATGGTGTGCCATGACCTTTGGTAGGATGCTAACTGATGCTCGTGTGTCACATAGTGCATGTGGGAATTCAATATCTCTTACTGAACATGGTAGTGCAAACTTCCCATGATCAGTCTTCTTCTTCAATGTGATCCTATGTTTCATCATTTCCCTGACATGATGAAATATTCTGCTAATGTCCTCCTCAATATCCCTGGTTTCTCTGAAGTACATCCACAGTTTGTGGGTAAAGTAAACCTCCTCAAACGGTTTGTCCAGTGGGATCCTTAGAACTCTCTTAGTGAAACCATCAATTTCTTTCTTATTAGGTTTCCTCTCGAGATGTTTAGGAACCTTCTCCTTCATTTTCCTCAGGGTTCTTCCAATAGTGGTCTTATCAATGTCCATAGGTTCTGAAGTTAGGTTGGAGGGGTTGGTTGATGGCGGTCTGAATGCGTTGAGTCGTGATATGTCGATTGGAGGCAAACACACTCGGCATGTTAGAGAGGTGTGTCAATCGATGGGGTTCATGTCATGTCGATCGATAACATGTTCTATTTGTCGATCAACCATCGGCTCGTGATGTCAATCGATGTTGGAGTAGAAAGGGCTGGGTGGATGCGGGTGTCTTTCCGCGAACTCCTCGTGGGTCAAGATCCGGATTGCATTGCACGATTCAGTCGACTCGGTTGGTGTTGATCGATCGGCAAAATATTCTGTCGATCAATCCGTGTCGAAAACTATCGATCGATGTGCATTAGTTGGCCTCGATCGATGCAAAGGTGATTTGTCGGAGTCGATCATGTTTTCCTCCTCAAAATCGTCTTCTTTCATCTTCACATGTCAAATTACTTGCCAGAAATTATCATCCAGTATGGCCTTGACCTGGTGTTTCATTGCTTCATCCCCTTCTTGCTTCCTAAGAGCTTCTCCAGTGTGAACCACTTTAATCTCAAGCTTCCTTACCTGAGTTTCCAGAGAATCAATTTTGGTGTTCAGATCATTGTAGATGGAATCAATCTTCCCATTGAAATCCATTGTTAGCCTTTGCTATCCTTTAAGAACCTTATCAAGCATAGCATCAATCTTGCTCTCTTGAGTCGCTGGTGGTGGATTCTGGTAGAATGAGTTTCGATAACTCTTATTGTTGCTGTAGCTGTTGTAGGGTTTATGATATTGTGAATTCTGGTTGAAGTTACTCCTCTGACCATTGCAACTGAAGTTTCTGTTTCCAAACTGATTTCCAGACCTCTGAAATCCAGTTCCTCCAATGTAATTCACATCTGCTAACTTTAAATCTATGTCCTATGCATCTTCAGCTGAGCAAACCTGTCTCATAAGTGGCTGGTTGACACTGTCCAACTTAGCTTTTACTTCATCCATCTGTTCCTTCCCAAGGAATGCTACAAATTTCTCCCTTTCAGAATCAGTGTTCTTGGTGTTGTTGTTGTTTGCTAGATTCTCAATAAGCCTCTCAGCTTCTTCCAAAGTCTGTTGTTGAAACTCACATCGCTTGCTGTATCCAGAGCCATCTGATATTTCAAAGCGACTCCTCTAAAGAATATGCTAAGTAGCTGCACCTCATTAAATCCATGGTGTGGGTAGTCGCACTGGAAGAACTTAAATCTAATTCAAGAGTCTTTAAAAGACTCTCCAGCTTTCTGTGTGAAGGTAGCAATCTTGCTCCTCAGTTCTCCAGTTCGTGCCTCATCAAAGAAATTGCGCAGAAACGCATTCTTGATGTCAGCCCAGGATGTAAGAGATCCTGGTGGTAGCTGCTTGGGCCAATGTGCAGCATCTTCAGCCAGTGGGTACTTGAAGAGCTTGCACAGTAAGTAGTCCTCAGGGGCTCCTTTAACTCTAATAGCAGCAATGAGATCCCCGAACCTCTCTAAATGGTCCATAGGATGCTCATGTGAAAACCCAGAGTAGGGTATCTGTGCCACAAGTATGTAGTACTGGGGCTTCAACTCGAAATTTTTCCTCTGGACGTCTGGAAGACGAATAGCTGACCTGTTGGCATAATACTGGTCTAGACATTTGTAGTCTTCCAAAGTCTTGGGTCGAGTGGCCTCATCAGTATCGGTTTCAGGGATTACATTCCCTTGAGTATCTAAATTCTGACATGTTGCATTACGCAGATGACCTTCCTGGTCATACATGTCTCCATCCGCGTTCGCGGTTAGTATCAGAGTCGCAACCATGTTTTTCGGCTGAGTATCGATGGATGTAGAATGAGTGATGTCGATCGATGTCGAGTGATGAGATTCGGCCGACGAAGAGTGGTCGGTGTTGATCGATGTGCGAGCGAGGTCGGTTGTCGTGTGATGAGAGTCGATCGATGCGCGAGTGATGCTAACGATCGATGTGGAGCGTAAGTTTTTGCGGATCGAACGTTTCAAGCTTTCTGGGTCTTCTGAAAATAGAAGTTGTTTTTCCTTGTTGCTTCTGGTAATGCTATGCATGCACCTGAAAAAAAAAGAAATTTTTTTATCAGAAGATGATAAAGAAAAAGAAAAACCTAGAAATATTAGACTATATCTAATGGTGATCAAAGCTCACCCGGCAACGGCACCAAATTTGATAAGTGCTCATATTACCCTATGGAGAAACTTACTCTCTCAAATAAGAGATCTATTGCAGTACTTAGGGATGAAATCCACAAGGAGTTGAGGAACCACTTAAATCTAATCATGCAATAAAGCTAGGTGAGTATTAATAGAAATTGCAGTAAACAAGTAGACATAAAATATGAAATATTCTAATTGAGTAAGACAATTACTCGACGAGAATGGAATAAGGGTTTTGAGCTTAAATGGAATGTGTTAGACTTAAGGCTTTTATTCAGGGGTTGGAGATTATAATCCTGTAGGTCCTATTTGTTGTTTACATGGTATTAAAGAGCTTAACTATCTTAATAACAGATTCACTAAAGGTTCGCTTAATAAATAATTAAGTCTATTGACTAGAGTGTTATCGACCTAAACAAGAATGTCTGATCACGATCGATTATTCTAGAGGAATATCGATCGATACACTTTACTCGACCTCGATCGATTTCCAATAGGAATATCGATCGATGCGGCTAGTCAAGCTTTACACGCGAGTTAATCTACACTCGTTATGGATTCCATAGATCAAGCGATTGCCTTCTTTCTAGTAAAAATACTAGCTTAATCAGGATATATTCAAGATTATCAGAGATATCTAAGGATGCTTAAACAACCTAAAGATCCTAGATTCATGTTTCTAGTTAGCAAGTCTAGAACATAAGCATTAAGAACATCCTAATAATGAATACCACAACAAGCGATCCTATAGTTGGGGCTGATCCCACTAAATATTTAAACCCTAATTCTAACAAGTGAACAACTCATACATGGCTAAGCAATTCATAACACAAGCAAGGTAAATTAACTGCATAGTATAGATAGATAGAAAACAATGGACTTCCATTCACAAATCTCTGTTGATCTTTTCTCCCTAACTATAAAATACTAAAACGTTTTGCTGTGAAAAGAATACAAAAAGCTCTCTCTCTCTCTCTCTCTCTCTCTCTCTCTCTCTCTCTCTCTCTCTCTCTCTCTCTC